TGGAGAAAGGAAGGTGGTGTGACAAAGAGGTCGGACCAACTTAGTTCCCTATCGCTGTGGTCACATTGCAAAGTCCGGTGATTGGGTTCACTGTCGAGCACGCAGTCGTTAGAAGTGTGATGTAAGGCATTGTGACTAAGTCGGTTGCTTGCCCACCGCGAAAGTGGCTTGTTACCCTCTAAGGACGTGGAGAGGTGTGTGGAAGTTGGAGTTGCAGGGTTCTGTTGTGTGGCTATTGCACTAGCGTTGAGGCGTGCCTCCACTTTGTGACCTGACAGGCAGGTATATCTTTCAGTGACTGCCTCTTACGGGGTTGTACGAGCGTCCTTCATTTCTTAACACCTAATTTACATTGCGAATTTTAATGATTCTATCGGCTGCAAAATATGGCGGTGAGAATGCCTAACCGCATTCGTTTGCCGCGACTGGGATTTAATCATCTGAAAAATGGTGTCCGCTTGGCTTCAACTGCAAACTAATAGTGGATTATATTTTTTGCCACATACAATGCGCCTCCCAATCCATCCTAAGAGTGATGCTTTCCGATGAGATAAATGTTGATGATGGGACTAGAGGTGTCTTGCTGTTTTCAACCAGACAGACTACTGGCTAAGTATGCGTGGGATTTGACATCCCACGTAGCTCTAAAGCTTTCCAAACGGGAATGTCTCTATACTCACTATTTGGAAGGGAAATTTCTGATTTAATTCATGTTACAGCTTGCTAAATAAAAATGAGCTTAGGAATAACGGAATAATAGGATCTTAATCCCTGTGGGACTTTAACGACAGACGCAGTCTGTCCGCATCTTGATTGCTCAAACCGTACGCCGTGACACAAGCCAACCTGCCTTTTCCCTTTTATGCCCGTTGCAGAAAACTGCTTAAAATTTATTGTCTAAAGTTTTCGCCTCGTGATACCGTTGATACCTTACACTACTGGGTGCAGCATTTGAAGCATATTATTCACTGCTAGTTGAGCAAACTCCAGTATAATAATCGCACGAGAAATGATTAATGGGAAAATTGTAACCTATATTACAACTTATGGACTGACTTAAAAGATCTACAGTGCACACGATCTGTTCAGTAGTTGGGTTGTCGAATGGAGCAGGGAAGGAGAGACACTTACCTTGGGCCAAGGATGAGCCTTGATTTGCGGGAACTTGAACTCTCGATAGTCGGGATTCATATCGCGAATCTGCTCGTGAGAAGGTGTGCCGAGTACCTTTATTATTTCCACCAACTGATCCACACCGCTTTCTCCGGGGAAGATTGGCTGACCCAGAAGTAACTCCGCAAATACACAACCGGCTGACCACACGTCTTTAAGGGGAAGCAATGTGAGAATGGGTTAAAAAGTTTATTTTTAAGGTGATCAAATCAGTGTAATGCAATTTACAATCAAAACGATAACGGTAGCTGTAAATACAGGAGACCTTTGGGGTGAGGGATAGCCATCAAGTGGTTTTCAGCCCCAGCTCATCGATTCACGACAATCAAGGACGGCGTCCAGTGCATGGCTAGTAAATGAAGCAGAATTATCCTATATTTGCTGTTAATTTACTTGGTGGAATTTTTGAATATCTCATCTGATTCCCATGTGGGAATGGGGCAGAGTCCTGCTCCTACCATTACCTTATCGGCACTAATGGAGCTACATTTGGGCTACAATACTTTGTAACAAGATGCAACATGGGCAAGTCCGGCCTAAACCAACACATAACGAAAAAATAAAGCTAAAATAGTTTACAACAACTAACACTTTAAGTTTCTGATAGTTTGTAACGAAGGTAGATCCCATTTAAACGGCTGAGCGGAGCTAAAGCAACGTCATTTGGAGCCCCTTATGACCGAGTGGCACATTTGATGTAGCAGTTAATAAACGCAGGACTTGATAGGTGAATTCACTGAAACACGTGATATGCAAACTAGTTCAAAGTGGGGAAAGACTGTCGTAGCATTTCGCCGTCCTATTAAGATAATTTCACCTATGGTTACTGTTATGAGGACTGAAGTTGACGAGAAATCACAGTAAAAGCTGAAAAGTGAAATAATTCGTTTCTTACAGCAGCGGAATCAAATGAGATTCACATTATCCGAAGGCACCATTATTAAGCCCCTTCCCTATTTCAGTAATAAAGCTAATTCTCAGACTTCTATGCCGTCAGGTAACAGTGAACAACAACAATCCAACGAATGACAGGTGGACCACTAAATGAGATGGCTCATTTAACCCCACAGTGATAAGGAATACTGGCAACTTACAAACAAATAGCAAATCACACCAACGACAGCAAACTTATGGTGTGCCGAAAAAATAAATTACCAAAGTCGTAGAACGGATAAAGTACGATTGTGGCGACAGATAAGCTAGTCGCTGAGCGTTTTAAACAGCCATGAAAATGTATGATAATGGAACAGAGGTGTAAAGCAAAATTATTCGGGCGACTGCCCACTTAATACCGCGTGGAGAAATCCAATGAAACACGCAAAGCAAATTTCTGCGAAAGCCCCTCTGATGAGAAAAGACGACCGCCAGCGACCAGGCCCTCAACAATTATCACTGCATATAAACAAGAAAGCAATGTGAGGAGGCATAAACAATTTGCACCAATATGGTGTCAAGCGTCCTTCTATCACGAAGCTAAACAACACCAGTTTCCGGTTCATACGCCACCCATTTCCCACAGATGCGTGGTGCCAAATGGCCAACTACATCACCCGAATAAGTTGTGGGATGGGTCAGCACCCCGATGACGCCAAATTTGGGCACAAGCAGTACTCAGAACCACTCAAACCATGTAACGAGGTTTTTGCCTATCAACTAAAACACATGTGGAATTATTCATTTAAACTATTTCGACTGGTGTAGTGGTCATAAAAAACCTAGAGGGTTATTTCCACTTACGGGCCTGGACGAGATGCCGCGAGAATTGAAACTGGCGCTTTACCATCAAAATGTGTACTACAAGCGATTCCTTCTATACTGACAATGAGTCAAAGGTGGAGAGCATTTCGCTTCATTTCCTAAACTAGTTACGCACGATTCTTAAGTAGCGTCGAGTGAGTTCCTACCCTCTGAGTCAAAATGACAACCAAAGCAGCGGTAACAAGTCAACAAATAGTAGCTCTTATGGGGTAGATTCAGTAACTAATTAAAATAGTTAAATCAAAGCCACACCACTACCAGTCATACATTCGGAATGGAGCAAATTGGCATCTTAGAGTAAAGACTCCGATACAACTCGTTTCCAAAACCGGTATTCCATCAAGGCGGTACGCATGATAGCATCACACCACACCAGAGGAAAATGAGGAATCAGAGCGTAATGCAAATCAGCGTACACACATGCACGCACTTGCACACACACAAACCAGGTTTTGGAACCAAATATGCTCTTGCACAAAAAAATGTATCGTTGAGCGACTAGGAAAACGAGTGGCGCAACACCAGATATGCCCTGCGGATGGGACAAAACACTAGAGAAAGAGAAAATTGAAGTAAAAAATTCGGCTAAAGAGCTGAAGAAAGATTGAAAGGGAAAGGAAACCTACAGTGCTATACATCGACCTGCCAATAGAAAGGAGCAAGTGCCTTCAATAGACCTCAATCTCGACTTGACCCCGCATCAGAACTAAATAAAGGTCTGCAAATCAGAGGCAGGTAACGAACGCAAGAGGCTGACGTAATTGCTGCAAAATCAAGACATGGACCTCGATGTCGTAGAGAGGTGACTAAACCTCCCAATTATGCTACATAGACTGAATGAAGACCAGGACTGGACTCACCAATTTGGCATGTATAGTTGACAGCACCAAAGATGAGTTCGGGTGCGCGGTAGTAACGTGAGCAGATATAGGAGACATTGGGTTCACCCTGAATCAGAACTTTGGCGCTGAGAGAAAAAAAACACGAAAGGTAGCGTCAGTTTCCATACTGGAGCATAGCTCTTGACTCCTATTAACTTATTTAAAAGAGGATGATTCGCGACACCTCAAGCGTATTACTAAATGAGTACTCATGGATAATGGTGCAATAAGAAGGTATAATTCCTCCTTCAAAGTCAAGCACCAGAGGTTCTGGTGCACGGTAGCAACATTTCGTTCAATGAGCGCAATGGCAAGTGAGGATAAGTGGTAATTCTGAGCTAACATAAGTAGAAATAATGAAGGATGAGGATGAACAAAGTCACAAATGTTGTCAATGAGAGTAGTGCGCCATTCACTACAGCGGTCCGATGGAGTACAGTGCTAAGGATGAACAAGGGGGTCAAGAAATTGGTGAGAGGGAATTATTAACGAGGTACATGGTCTCATCAAAACAAGTACGCCATCCACAAGACAAATCGAAATTTCCTATCTGAGCCAGAATTGATGAGTGAAGCATAAGAAGTGTAACTTTTGCACCCTTCAATGGATTTAAACTTCTATCCATTAATTAGCAAGAAATTGAAGCAGCGCAGAGCAGAAAACAACGCGCAAGTGACCCAAGGAAAGCAACTAACGAAAAGTAGGCGTTTACTAGATTTCAAAGCAATACGAAACTAATGCAATTTCCATTATGCGCAAGCGAATGCTGTCTGTCCCTCAATACACTACCTTCCAAAATCGCAGAGTTTGAGGACTCCAGTGGAGGGATCAAGAAGAAGATTTTGGGGCTTGATGTCCCGATGGCAAATCCCCTTGCTGTGAATGTAAGCGAGGCTGCGGAACAATTGGTACATGTACAGCTACAAGTAGAAGACAATAAGTTCCCTGAATGCCAGGTGATCCAGCAATTTTTAAGTCACATTACAGCAAAGAAGTGATCGCTGTCTAAGGTAGTAAGTCAGCTATTCCGAAATGCATACAGAAACTATGGATAATCCGAGAGAATTATGGATACCAGAAACAAATTCTACCTCTTCCTTTTGTTTATTTATTTTAAAAGGTTTAGCAACTCCTCGAGCCTCAGTGTTGACCCGCGAGAAGCAGTGGTTGTTTACAATCCAACCATAATAGCTATCTTAGTCATCGAGACCTTCTCTCATGAGCGAAAAAAGTTAGAGATATAAGCGTCTGAAAACTTTGAGGCGTTATGTTATTATGAGCCATGCCCTCCAGTCGCAAGAGGTTTCAATGGTCCCCAAAGATGTCTGCGCATTGGTATTAGTTAATAGGGCAAAAAGGTTGCATATTCGGTCCATTGGTTGCTCGTTGAAAGGGTTAATAAAAAGGCATGAGAAGATAGAAAAATTCAAAGCATGCTCCATCTTAGCGACCAAGATGATGCCAGAACATTCAAAAATCCGAAACTTTTAACTTCAACGACAACATACCGAGATGGAAAACTCACTTTAGCAAAGATCATTGGAATGGTTTCCTTTTGCCGTGTATACCGACGTGCAACTCTGTAGACTGTCTCAGGAACAAACTCAAGCACCAAATTCAAATATACGTCCTCCTTCTATTGGGATAGAGAAGCATATGTAATGCTGTTGTGCTCCAGAAGAGTGTGTGTAACACAATATGTCGCGTGGAAAAATAAAAAAACCACGCGGAGAAATGTGTGCATGTTCCATATGCCCTCGAAGGTCTCTCAGGTTATTTCACACGATATTTTTAGCTCATTTATTGCATTTTTAGGGCTCACAGGAGATTAAATACAAAGCAGAAAGGTACGATAAACCCCGGAGACACGGTAACTCAAGAAAATATTCAATAACCATAAAGCCTACTGAGAAAGAAAATCAAAAACAACGGCAATGAAAGCGTCAAAAATATTTAGCGAAAAAAATGTGGACATGAGATTCGATTCATTGTTGTTCAATGAATAAGACAAAACAAATTCACTCACCCTTTCACCCATGACGTAGAAAAAGTACTTGAGTTTCACAATATTCTGGTGATCCAATGAGCGCATAATTTGCAGTTCACGGTTCTACAAAAAGATTTAGCAGTAACATAACAATGGAGCCGATTTAGAACGGAAAAAATCACCAGACCTGAGGTTAAATGTCCACCTTCAAACAAAGGGCTCATTCGACCCCAAAAAGAAGCACAAATTGGCCGTCAAAATTTTGACCTAATGGAGGAAGTCTTGCCGCTACACAAAACGAAGGCATATCTAAGCAATTTTCAGAAGAAAATATTTTGGCGATTACTGATATTGGGCGTGCAACGCAACCACTGGACAAAAGAGCAGCAAGTAATAATTAGTATCGTTTTAAAACGAATGTTTTACATGGCCCAAAGCCCTTCAGAACACGTGTAAGAGAGCGAAGAAAAAGGAAGTATTAACAGCTCTGACAGCTATTAAAATAGTCTCAACACAGACTCCTTATTTTCGTCGGGAAAAAAAAACAGGCGGTCTCATTGGGCGTGCGCAGCCATCTTCACCAATACAGAGGATAAGCGATCTAACTGCAGTTGTGGCATCATTTACTTTAACCAGCAAGTTTGCGTGTAAGAACAGTGTCGTGCGTACTAAAGAGGCAGGACTAACAATTTAAAAGTTGGACATATATGCCTAAGACGGAGTAGGCAAAATGAAGTGTAAAAATATTCAAAGCTTCTGATATTTAAACAACTGACCAATGCCTAAAGTTGTGTGTAAAGCGACAGGTGCAGTCCAGGATCACTTTATTAATAAGGGGAACAAACCTTGAATCGCCGATCCTGAAGGACCTTTTTGACAGCAACAATTTCATTGGTGTCACACAGACAGGCCTGGTATACCACACCGAATGAACCGTTCCCAATAACTTTGATATCTGTGTACGATATTTCCTGTGTTTTGTCGCCTCGACCCAATGTCGCAACAACAGATACAACTTTACCGTCTTTAACTATTTACGAAAAGAAAAATTAAATGTCAGAGTTACGATCAAAAAAGATAAGAAAACAATGGTCTATGGATTCGTGGCATAATTCCACAATGCATCAACAAAAGCACCTTAAGAATAGAGAACAAACAAATCCGGAAAGCATAATTTCGAAAAAATTGAAAATAATTAATGTTTGATATCGTAACCAAATACAAAAGTGCAATACAAAAGCGAACAAACAAAAACGAGGGTAAATGAACACAATTTTGAAAGGCTTTAGTGGGACAACTCTTCGGCAATGGACAATTAAATACGGAACCTGTTAATTAATATGGTTAGCGACGCCTGCAATAAGGCATGGGCTACAAAACCCAACCTATCACATTTCCCAAAAGTGCTTCTTACGACTTTTAACCAAAGGAAATTTACACACAAATAAAGGCTAGAACAGATATAAAATGCACGGGGAAAAACAACTAGACGACACAATTTGAAAACAAACCACCCAAAAAAATCATTAGCAAAGTATAAACAGCGATCGAAACCATTAGTGGACAAAGGGAACCAAGGTTCAAAAACTCAGAAAACCCAGACAATGTTCAAGAGCAGGCAATAAACTGTGGACATTACCAAATGAATAAAAAATTACCAAAATTATTAAAAGAGTTAATAAAGAAAATATTGGACGATAGTTGATACAGTTAAATGGTATAAAGATAAGAAAAAAAAGCAAGCCAACCACAAAGTAATGTGGTGATTCCTTTAAAATAAACGG